TTAGCACCAAGGATGTTACGAATCAGCTGCTAAACCTAGGAGTCATGTCTGTGGTTTGTGGTTTTAAAGGATAAAAAGGATTGTATCTGAGGGGGTCGGTACCATTTTGGTCAAGCTGTTTACCTGACGGCTCGATTAAAATGGTCACGACATTGCAATGTGAATCTCAGTAGGTACATTGTATGCTATTGGTTAAATTTTACTTGCTTGTTGAACTAATATTTATGCTATTGGTTAAATTTTACTTGCTTGTTGAACTAATATTTATGCTATTGGTTAAATTTTACTTGCTTGTTGAACTAATATTTATGCTATTGGTTAAATTTTACTTGCTTGTTGAACTAATATTTAATAAAGCTTTTAGAACTTTGAAGTGACTTGTTTTATGGTGTGTCTGCCTCCCGTGTTTAACGTGCTTTTCCCCCTGTCACCTGTATAATAGTGGAAGCAAATTCAAATGTCCAGAAAGTCACCCAAACAGTAAAATCCTAAATGGATGTTTCTGTACTATATTCAAAAGGAAGCTATCCAAGGAAAAGATGCAAGAGAACAAACTCCAGGGCACTTTGAAGATCCTAGGAATGAACTGGGGAGAAAGACAGCTTTCTGGGGTTCATAGATCCAAATCTGGAGAGGGCTTGATTAAAAATGCAAGCTTATATCCTGAGGTGTCTTTAATAATCACGTTTGTTCCTGAATGTACTGAGGAATTGCTGCAATGCTGCAAACACTGTGAAAATACAAGAATGCTGGTAAAGGACTTGCTTGTAATAGGGAAGTTGAAAATACCCTTCAAAGCATATGCTGTCTTGCTTTATTTGGACAGCAAAACATGGCGTAGGGTAGGCTCCTGCAATCAGGTGCCCTCCAGGTTTGTTGGGACTGAAATTCCCAGAATTCCCAGCCATCAAGGATGCCAAGTTGGAGAAGGCTAGCTTAGGGCATGTACACGGATGCTACCAATTTAGTTTCAGTCAGCTCTTCCTTGGATGTTTTGAACAACAGCTTGACCTGCAGACATTAAGAAGAATGAATGCTTCTTCTCTGTTCTGTTTATTTTTAAACTTTGCACATTGCGTCTCCCAGTTAGCAGACACCCAGGGCACTGAACATAATATTAAAGCTCGCATTCATTTATTTTAACATGTGATGATTTTTAAAACAATAACACTTAAAAACACTGGCACATTTCTATTTGGAATATTTTAGAAACCATCGTGATTTTTGGCAATGGGTTTGGTTCAGCAGTCCTGTGAATACAAATCCACTCCTAAGATGCTTTTGGTGCAGGCTTTGAAGTGATTTTCTCTGGTTTCTTCCTGTCTCTGCAAGTTCCTTGGACACTGTTTGAAGGGAATGGGGAGTCTCTGGAATTATGTCAGAGGTAATGCAAGAGACTTTCCTCCCTTTCCTCCAACAGGAGCTTTGGCTAGAATTTGGTCCCTCCTGTAAATGAAAAAGCGCTTCTATTCATAGAAGGGACACACTGGATCCAAGACATCATTTCTACCTAAAAACATGGGATGGAATGTATCTATGAAGAGGAGGGTGATGTGGGGGATAGAAGCAGAGAGCAAGGCTCTCAGGAAGGAGGGGGCGTGTTCCAGGAAGGGAAAGGAGACAAAAGACAACACAGTCCATAGGGGGAGTGTGGGAAGCGTAAGAGGTTCAGGATAGCCACTCCCTAGAGTCTCCCAGGGTAGAGCCACATGCCGCAGTAGTATAGATTTAGTCCGGCAAGATTCTGTCTATAAGGTGCAAGCAAATAGTTGGCTGGACTGTTTCACGTTGTTCTTGGTCCGGGCCTGACAAAACACGAGGGATAAGTCTGGGGTGATTTTGTCTTATGAAATTGCATAGCATATTGTATACATTAATAAAATTATATAGATCGGTAATTATAACTAGAGTGGCATAAAGAAACAATCCTTATCTGCTACCTTCTTAGACTGCAGCTTCTATAATTCCTACCAAGTATGGCCAACCTAGAGAGAGCCCCCATACTGCTTCACATGCCCTTTCTTTCAGGTAGCTACATTCCCCATCACCAGAAAAAAAAAAACGGAAGGGGCTTCCTCCTTTCATCTGACCTAGCCAAACTTTCTTCCTTTAATTCCTCCCAAAGGCTAGGGAAGAAGAGAAGAGAGAAAGAGAACAGGGAGTTTTACCCCATTTTTCAAATGCTGCTTAATCATTTTATTGTGGGACCAGGTTTTTCTCAGTGCAATTTGTTTGCAAGCTTTGAGCATGGCATGTTTACATCAGCATTTGGCATCATTTATTATATTGCAACAGATGTCTTTAGCTGGGCTTATTCATCCCTGTGTTTTCAGAAGAGGTTCAGTGGTCCAGACACATGCACACTGTGTAGCATGGAATTAAATTCCCCATACTGCTCAGTTCTCCACAGAAAAAAGCAAAATAGAAGGGACGGGCTGCAAGCAGGACAATAATTCTATCCTTGAGTTTCAAGAATATTTGTATAACAACATCACCAGAAGGAAGGTAAGAGGAGAAAATAGAAGTCAAGGAGGTTTTCCAGCAGTGAATTTGCCAGTAAGTAGTGGACTTCAAAAGACCTGAGCCTAAATTGGCTGATATCAAAGGTTTTGTATGGGGGAAAAAGTCACAGCATTATGGTACTTGTACGCAGGGAGTATTTTTGTGGGTGGATCCTGTGCTCCCATACCTGCTGTTTAACATGTCCAGTGCAATTATCTCAACTCCTTCAGAGAGTAGGAAAGCTGAAACAGGATATACAGGCTGGCCGAAGGGACAAATTTTGCTTCCTGAGAAGCAGAAGAGATACTTCGGAACTCTAAACACTGCCAGAAAAGGAAGTCCATGGCCAGGGTTTTCCCAGTTGGACAGACTATAGATTGATTCCCATTGCTGCATTCTAACTGTGATGAGCCAGGAGTTAGAGATGCAGGGAACTGCAGAGCATCTCAAAGGGATCTGCAAATCCTATGTCCCTTCATTGCTTCAGTTCTTCCAGATCCTGTATCTCTAGATCTTGCTTCAGTGAGCCATCAGGGTTCCATACAGAGGTGGCTCTGCATGGGCTTCAATCCCTTCAGCTAGGCTAGATTGCTCTGGAATTTGACTTGATGGATCATAAGCTATCCCGGTCAGGTAAGCAACTGCTTCTCCCCCTCCAAGAAGTTAAAACCCAAATATTTCCCCTCTGAGTGCATAACTTACATCTTTATATAACCTCCCGATAGCATTTTCCAGATACACAAATTACCCTGGAGTCTGATGATTCTCAACTACTTGAAGGACAATTGCATATGAAGACAGAAATATAATTTACCTTAATTGTCCGTTTAAAGGGAGATTTAAAGTGCTGCAGATCAACAAGAAGACTGGGAGAACAACAGTAATAATTTGTGCAAAGTGTTGTATCAAAGAATCATCTTGATTGCCTCCAGCTCCCATAGTGACCAAGAACACCATTCTCAGGTGATAAAAATAGATGCTGTAGCTCAGCCCAAACTGCAGCCTTCACACTTTTTGAGAACAAACTGAAATACCTTCAACACCATGCAGTTATTTCAACGTTTTCTGATAAATTCAGTTTGACCTCCATGAGCCCAGCCTGAGTACAGTATTTTCAACCTCACTACAGCCCACTTTTTAAAAAGAAATAAATAAAAGCATAAATACACTAAAGGTTTGTATACACAGAATGTGCTTACACTGCATAAAACTTCAATGCCACACTATTTTTTAATATCCTTCTTTGTCTCTGAGGCATGTCACCAAACTTTTCCTTCCTCCAGATGTCACAAAGAAGGTTGCACAACACTTACTAAATCAGACCCAAGTCTTGCATCTCAGAATCAGTCCTCACATTACATGGCTACCATTTCAAACTGAGCACTATGAATGGACTTGAACTCGCCCAGGAGTCAATTCCAACTCATTGAGATAACCATGACATTTATCCTTCCAAATGTGTTTGTCCAAAAAACAAAACAAAAAAATCTAAATATACTCCTAGCAAATCTACTGTGTCCCCTGATCCTTGAAAATGAAGGCAAATGTTACATAGAAATGCTTTATTGTCACATCTATAACATAAGGTATAACGTACATGTACATACTTTCATGAAGAAATATAGCTGCCACTGATACTATACCAAGGAAATTGCAGAAGGTAGAAAAGGCACCTCAAGCTATCATAGCAGCTTTCCTATTCTCACTAAAACTGCCACATGATTAGGGTTACCAGACATCTGAACAGGCAAAGGAGGACACAGACAACTGGAAAGGAGGACAAATGGTGGGAAAGGAGGACACACTAACTGCTTAACTTTCTTGGCATCCGCAACAAAAATTACAGTGAAAAACTGCAAAATATGTGGATAGGCCTATACGTATATGATGTTGCTTTTTCCAGCATCATAAAGACTGGTTTTTCAATCACAATATATTTCCCAACAAATCTTTATTTTCAAGAACATATGCTAGTGATAACATAGAATTGACAACAAGCTTTTCACATTTCACTATAAAAATGCATCAGGAGTCACGTGATCTACAGACTACAGCAATCATAGATTTGAAGGAGCTAGACTGAAGGCAATTGCTAGGATCAGGAAATAAATTAAATAACATAAATGCAGGCTGTTGAGTCAGTCCAGACATGAGGGAAAGAAAAAAGCAGACAATTTACAAGGTCACATACAAAAAAGTTTGAATAGCTACTGTTGTGAAAACAGTTCCCCTCAAAAAACCAAGACACGGAAAAAGCTGGACAATATTTGATTTTAAAGTTATGCCTGCCACACAGTGGACATGAGGTTAAAAAGGAGGATATGTCCTCCTTTTGCCTGACATTTGGTAACCCTATGCACGATATACTTCCTTTGATTTTATGTAGGTACAATGATACATTCCTTTTTGTGACTGTTATGATAATATGGAAACACCAACACCCCTGTGCAAGCAGATCTAAATACAACGTGAAATAAATGCAAAAATCATTTACTTACATCCAACCATCATCATAGCCACAGAAAAAATCTTCTCTCCATCAGTGGTTGGAGCTATGTTTCCAAATCCTATTGTTGTAAGGCTTGTCATGGTGAAGTAGAGAGAAGTTATATAAAGTGAATCTTTACTGGGTCCTCCTTCCCACTGCCCTGATCCAGTAGTGTTGTACCGATACGGTGTTCCAATACTCTCTGCCAGTTGGCAGAGCCAGCTGTCCTTCTTGAGGGTATTGGTGATCTCGTCAATAACTTCATAGTCCCCAATGCTATACCAGATGCACGCAAGCCAGTGAGCCACTAATCCAAAGACACAAACCAGGAGCACCAACACTGCAGCGCCATATTCCAGATAATGGTCCAACTTCCTGGCCACACGACCCAATCTCAGGAGTCGCACCACTTTTAAGGAACTGAAGAGGCTGCTGATACCCTAGAAAGGAACACAGATCTTTACTTTCTGTACAATGATGAACACTGTGATTTGGAAATATATTATACACATATCTACATACGTACATATCCTTCATGCTTTTTCCTTTCAGGATAGGCAACATTGTCCAAAATCAGGAAAGGAGTATGAAATAGTAAACAAAGGAATTAAAGAAATACAAAAAGAGAGGGGAAATACAGCTCATTCTAATTTATAACTTCACCTTCACTCTAAGTTTCCAAAATATATTATTTTGCAAATAACCTACCATGTCCATTAACCACTTCTCATCTCTCTCATTTTGAAGCTATGTCAACTTTATCCAACTACTTTCTCAAATTTCCCCTTCTCAACTCATTCACTTTTGCTTTTTATATTTGTTCTGTGACTCAATCCTTGGTTACACAATTTTCCCAAAATCCATCCTTAGTTCTTCCTTTATCATCATTCCCTGGAGCATAACATGCCAAAATCAACAACGTATGAATTCTTTCTTTCATATGCACCCATAATAACCAAGGGTGCATCAACCAACAACCACATCAATTCATACATTCTAGCATTCATTCTAGCCATTTTGTTCAAATAAAGTCAACACCTTTATTTTCCTACAAGTATTCGTCAACTCCACAAGATCAGATAATCTTCACTCAGCTCTATTACAAATTTCTCTTTCCTCTTTTAGACACAATCATCCTTCCTTCCTTCCTTCCTTCCTTCCTTCCTTCCTTCCATCCATCCATCCATCAGCAAAGACTTTCACATAATAATTTTTAGCAAGACACAAAAAGTGCAGACTCTGGTATCAGTAACAGTTGCACCTGTGCCACATGCAGCATTCCTTGCTTACGGTAAGACCACATCATGGTCAGTATACATAAGCATAAGCAAAGTCCACTGGTACTCCAATGATGCTCATGCTATTCTATGCAGAATCTCTAATCTAGAAACAGTCTTGCAAACCAACACACTAATGCCTACATCCAACCATACTACATGCTGCAAATTACTGGCAACCTATATATACATATGTACATATATATATATATATATATATATCATTCAAAGTTCAGAAGTTTAGGAGAAAGCTTTTTGTTTTGAATAGCAACCATAATAGTAATAGCGATGATGATGATGATGATGATGATGATGATGATGATGATGATGATGATGATGATTTAATTTTTCTACGTAGAGGCTACTTTTGATTTTCTTCTCACTATTACACCAAAGCAAAGATTTCATAA